CGCGCGTGCGAGGCGCGCACTTTGGTAGGGGTGGAATGTGAAACGTACATCAGGCAGCGTTCAGACTTCGCGATCGCGTCGCTAGTGGTAGCGACCGGTTGTGTAGCGCGACTGATTCGATCGCGCTCCAATGCAAAAATCGACTGGACGGATGCTAATTCACAGCCTAATTCAGTAAGTATTTACTTACTTTTTCCTTCTTTCTCCTCCCTTAGTTTCCAACTTATTTTTTATCTTCCTGCCACTCGTTTATTTTAATCTGTAATTTTTGTCAGTTATTAAGCTTATTCACCTTTAACACATTGAAATTTTCCTGGTACCTTTAAATTTTTCGGATGGACAACCGTGTTCAGCGCGCGCACTATTCTTTTTGAGGTGAGCTTTGTAGATTTGGTTATGTTTGTTTAGCTTGGTCGGCAGCTAAGCATTTCAGTAGAAACCTGCACCTGTACGGTAAGTAGTTTTCCTTTATTCCTGTTTTCTAACTGTTTTGTGTCTTTGTTATGGTCATGTTGGGGTTGCGTTGTCTCTTTAACAACACAATCAGAAATAGGAACAAAGAGAAGACTACCGTGCAGGTGAAGGTTTCTACTGAACTGCTGAGCTGCCGACCAAGCTAAACACATATGATTGATGAGAATCAAAAAGATAACCAAATCTTCAAGGAAACTGAAAACCTCAAAACAGGAACAGTGCACGCGCTGAACACGAAAGTCCATCCGAAAAATGCTGAACACGACAGTCCATCCGAAAAATTTCAATGTACCTGGAAAATTTCAATGTGTTAAAGGTAAATAAGCATAATAACCGACAAACATCAGAACAGATAAAAAACGAGTGGCAGGAAGATGAAAAATCAAGTTAGAAGCTAACGGGAGAAGAAAACTGAATTAGGCTGTGAATTAGCATCCGTCCAGTCGATTGTTGCATTGATCGAATTAGTCGCGCTACACAACCGGTCGCTACCACTAGCGACGCGATCGCAAAGTCTGAACGCTGTCCTAGCCGAGCATGCAAAATTGCATAACACGAAGTATTTAACGCATCTCCAACTTGCGTAACTAAACCGAGACGGTACGCCCGATTGTGTGCGTTCACGACGCAACATTTTTAACTTCACGCGCAATTTTCGGGGGTACTGTACGCAGCCTGACAGCCTGAACTTATAATCTTGTGTTGTTTTCTTTGGGTGTTGCTGTAGCCGTAACCAAGATGATACAACAGTTTTATTTGGCTAACGTTTCGGCCTTATCGCCTTCGTCAGAGCCTGGAAAAAGTCAAAGATCAAAGTGAAACTACCCTCGGACATCATTTCAAACCTCAGATATTCGTCCTAAACCAGAA